TTGATTACACTGGACCATTTCCATCATGGATGGGACAACATTTTATTCTTACTAGAACAGATACTCTGGATATGGACTTGCCTTCCCTGCACACAATGCTTCTGCCAAAATCACCATCCAAGGACTTACAGAATGCCTTATCCACCATTATGGTATCCCACAGCACTGTTTCTGATCAAAAAACTCACTTCGCAGCAAAAGAAGTTTGGCAGTGAGCCAAGCACATGGAATCCACTGGTCTTACCTGAAGCAGCTGACTTCACAGAATGGTTGAATAGCCTTTTGAAGACTCAGTTACAGCACCAGCTAGGTGACAATATCTTGCAGGGCTGAGGAAAGGTTCTCCAGAAGGTTATGTTTGCTCTGAATCAGCACCCAATATATGGTACTGTTTCTCCCATAGCCAGGAGTCACAGGCCCAGAATCAAGAGGTAGAAATGAAAGTGAGATCACTCAGCACTACCACCTGTGACCCACTAGCAAAAATTCTGCTTCCTGTTACCATGACTTTATGCTCTGCAGGCCTGGAGGTCTTAGTTCCAAAGGGAAGAATACTTCCACCAGAAGTCACAATGATTCAACTGAACTGAAAATTAAGACTGCCACCTGACTGGGGTGATTGATACTGACTATCAAGAAGAATCTGAACTACTACTCCCCAAGGGAGGCAAGGAAGACTATGCCTGGAATACAGGAGATCCTTTAGACCATCTCTTAGTATTACCATGCTCTATGGTTAAGGTCAATGGAAAACTAAAACAACCCCATCTAAGAAGAACTGCTAATACTGCAGACCTTTCAGAAATGAGGGTTGTGTCACCCAGCCATTTAAAGAACTACAACCAGCTGAGGTACTTGCTGAGGGCAGAGATAATATGGAATGGATAGTGAAGGAAGGTACTTATAAATACCAGTTATGATCACATGACTAGTTAAGCAAATGTCTTTGTTTTCTTCCATCTCTCATATCCTTATCATCTACATAAGTTGTATCAATCACCATTTACTTTTTATCGTCCTACTTGAGTTACAAGACACTGATGAGAAGAACAAACATCACCCAAGGACCGCATCCTCTTCTGGAGAAGGAGTCAGTACATTTTTGGTTTTAGGTAGGGCAGTTGTACTATGTTAGACAGAAGTATGACTTTGTTATTATCTTTATTTGGAAATTAAATATGGTTTAAGGAGATGTGTATGAATGCACAGTTGACATGGACTGGACCGTGATGGTTAGTTGTATGCGTCATCTTAACTAGGCAACACTACTCAATTAAATTAAATACTAATTTTGGTGTTGCTATGAAGGTACTTTGTAAATACAGTTAACATTTGTAATAACTAATTTTCAGTAAAGGAGATAATTGTGGATAATGTGGGTAGGCTTCATCCAATCAGGAAAGACCTTAAGAGTAAAACTGAGGTTTCTCTTAAGAAGAAAAATTCCTCCTAAGGACTGACTATATCACCAGCTCCTGCCCAAGAGTTTCCAGCTAGCCCTACAGTTTTCAGCCAGACCCTACAATTGCATAAGCCAACTCCCTGAAATAATCTCTTTATATACATATACACATATGTTTCTATATATATCCTATTAGTTCTGTTAGGACCTTGACTGATACGGCATCTACTATTCCCTACCAATACACTAAAGTTATCAGAGATAGAGATAGAAAGAAGTCTATTATGTGATTTCTGTCCTTTCCTTTAAAACTTCATAACCTAAAGAATATGAAAAGTCAGCATTGTAAATTATGTAACGTAGTAGTATATTATTAAGTGTCAAATGAGTGTCATTGAATTAAGTAGTCAAGGAACTTAGAAAAAAAGAAAAAAAGCTCTTCAGACTTAAGGAACACAGGGCAGGTTCCTGTGGAGGAAATGGGGACAAGAATCAAGAGTAGGCAGCCTAGTTGAATTGAAGTTATATATAATCTATTAAGATTTAATTGCTTCACTGCCTGCTTACTTATGAAAGATTCCTAAGCCCTATCAAGTGATTAGACATTCTGTCTGATATGCAGTGAGGGAAGTACGGAAAAACCTAAACATGAAATTTGGAAGCCTTCAAATATTCAACTCCTCTCTACCACTTGGTAGCAGTATGATTTTGGACAAAGTGCATACTACTTTAAGTCTCAGATTCCTAATATATAAAATGATGATACTGTATACATCCTGTTATCATAAAGTAACAGTGAGAAATAAAGAAGTTATAATTACACTTTAAATCAATGGTATAAGCTAATTTTAGAAAAGATGATGTATGTGACTTTCAAAAAATTATGTTACTCAGGTTCTGAAAATGGACCAAGCTTCTTTATAACTTTACCATTTCTACTTTGTGCAAGAACTTTCAGAATACAATTTATAACTGAACTTCTTGTGTACATAATAAATTAACCATTAAAAAATGTTTCGTATCTTCCAAAAATTAGGCTCTGCATTCACACTACAGTACCTGGAGGAGTATCTTTAGGAGGAGAGTATTTGTGCTTCTTTACAATGACACCTTTAGTTTCCAATTGTCTAGTTCCTGGTGACGCTTTAATAATACAACATATTTCTGATGTATCTGAAGGAACCTAAAAAAGACAAAGACAGATATTGCCTAATTTTTCCAGGTACAATATCTGTACATTGTTTTATTTCAAAAGCAAATGGTCTCAATATCTGTATTTTCACAGACATTAACAATAAAAAGCATTTATGAAATGCTTATTCTACTCTAGACACTAATTGGTTTTAAAACATTTGCTTATTTAATACTCACAAGAACCAGGCAAAGCAGATTATATTATCCCCACTTGTAAAACAAGAAAACTTAGGTTCAGAGAAGTTGGGTAACTTATTGCAAAACAGAGAGAAAGTAATGATATAGTTGAAAATCAATCATTCCAAAGTGGGAGAGAAAGTTTACAGGATTTACTGAATTAAAACATATTTAAATTTAATTCAGAGTCAAACACTAGATTTATGTAATTTCCCAACTAAGTTAATTTTGACACTATCCCATCAAGCAGACCATCTCTGGAATAAAAAAATACCATATGCTTCAGATGTGAAATATCTTCTTCCTTGGAACTCAGAAATAGACACATATTCATTAAGAGCTCCTCCTATTTTAAATAAAGATTATACAGAAATATCTTCTAATGTAAAATTCACATCATCTTCTGAGGTGGACATCAGCAATTTTCCTGCCCAGCATTCATTTTCATCCTTCTGGTACTGAAAAGTGCCAGAGTTTTCTGGGGAGAACCTACTCATTCTACCAGCCTGTTCACCACCCCTTCCTTATGGATCAGGAGGAGCTGAGAATACTTCTGAATCAGCCTAGCCAACCAATGTATTCCATGCCCCTGCACAAAGTGACTGGATCAGATAAGAACACTGTAAGAGGGCCAGCAGGAAGACGGGAATGCTGAATCTGAGATTCTGGCACTAAATCACAATCCCTAAAGGGGGACAAAGTGGTCCCAGGTTGATACTTAACCCTAGCTACACCTGTTGCAGTAAAAACAGGTACAAATTCTGTTAGGAAGATGAAATCCCCAACTTAGGTCCATAAGATTCTCATCAAATAAGGGCAACAAAATAAATGATAAGAGTCAATGTCAGTGTCAGAGGTCTTCAAGATTCAGCTCAGAAGAGTTCCAAGCAGAAATGATGGACAAAACATATTTCATATCCTCCTATAATTTCATTATAACAACAAAAAAGAAAGTACCAAACTGATGAGCAATCAAGCTACCTTATGTAAGACTGTACAGGAATGAACAATGGATTTAAGCACCCAAAACATCAGATATTAGAATTTTAAAATTCAGCACAAAATGATTAAAGAATTAACAACTGAAATTTCATTAATGAGCAAGCAACTGAAACTATCAGGAATAAGAGGAGATTTGAAAGATAAACAACTAGAATTTCTTGAAATGAAAAAACTGTTGAAATAAAAAAATTAATGGAAGGCTTAAGCAGCAGAGTAAGTCCAGCTGAAGAGAGACTCACTGAAGAAATTATCTAGAATACAGTAAATAAATGAAAATTATTAAAGAGAGGTTGAAAGATGTGTAGGATGGGAACATTTACTACTGGAGGCCTAATACATACCAATTATCATTTGTGACAGAATAAAATGGATAATAGTGAAAAATTTCCCAAATTGATGTGAGACACAGGTCCACAAACTCAGGAAGTCTAATATATTAAGTGAAATTAGAATTTTAAAAGAACAGCAAACAAAAATATTAACCCATTTATGTACAAATTCCAGTGAAATTATAGTATATCCAAGATAAGGAGAACTTAAAAGAAGCCAGAAATAAAAGATGTATCAGTTCCCAAGACCACCCTTAGGCTCAAATATTTGCTAGAAGGATTCACAGGACTCAGAAAAGCCGTTATACTTATAGTTATGGTTTACTATATCAAAAAGATATAGATTAAAATCAGCATACACAGACACCAAGATGGTGGAGTAAGAGGATGTAGAGCTCACCTTCCCCCATGAACATCAAAAATACATCTACACGTGGAACAATTCTCATTGAAAACTAACTGGAAACTGGCAGAAGTATTCCTGTATAAACAAAACTGTAAGAAAGATATACATGTAATCAGGTAGGATCAGGAAAAAAAGTGATCGGGTTAGGACAGGTGCCCCTGTGAGTGGACTCAAGAGGAAAAGGGAGATTGCAAGGGTGGACACTGCTCTGAGGAGTGAGCAGGTTGAGCCACAGACTGGGCACTGCAATACTGGGGTCCTATGCGTAAGAGACAAGCCCCTTGGCTGGTTGAAGAACCAGTGGGAGAGATAGAAAAATTGAAAAAGCCTGGACTCCACTCATGAGGAGCATGCAGGTGCTGGCTTGCCCCCATGCAGGAAAGACAGAGGTCTGTCCTAGTTGCCCAGGCTGAGTCAAGTGAATGCCCAGCCCTACCCAGTCCACACCACAGTATGGCACTGGATCTAGGGTGTCCAGGGCAGAGGGAAAAGACTCGACCTTGGAATGCAGAGGTGACCCAATCCTGGGGCAGAGCCCAGGTGGGGCAGTGGTAGCCACTATTAGCACTTACTCAAGCAGCAACCCAGAAGTAACCCAGACTTCTGACACAACACAGCCACTGAGTTTCCTGCAACTGCCTCACTGTGCACCCCAGCCCAAGCCAAGTAAACACTCTGGCCCCACTCACTCCATGATATACCATGTCGTTTAATCTAGGGTGGCCATGACTGGGGAAAAGAAGCAACCTACACAGGCAGAACATGAGACCTCTGCAGGCACCCAAGCTCCACTTGCTTCAGCACTCCCCTCCTTTGGGTCATGGGACCCAGTGTGTGGAGAAGGAAAAATACACACTTAAAGGGAACAGAGTCAGTGTGAATCCAACCCTCAGGGCTTCCACTCCAGCAACCTGGAATCAACTCCCACCCCTGAGAGGGTGGTGATGGCCACTCAGCAGAGAGGAAGTCCTCCCTAACAGTCTGCACAAGTCCTAGCTCCTCCATTTCCAACTCCACCCCCTTCCAAGCTGATAGCTGCCAACACATCCTGAGAAAGACATGATTGGCATCCACATCTAATCCAGCCCTCCCACCAAAGGCGTTGAACACAGTCTACAAAAGGAAACTCTCACATAAGGACATTCCTTCAAGACCACAATAGGCAACTGTTGCTCTTAAATTCATAGAGGCAGAGAAATTAATTAAAATGAAAAGGCAGTGGAACTGTTCTCAACTGAAAGAGCAAGAAAAAAATCCTGAAAAAATAAATAACAAAACAGAAATAAGCAATTTACCAGATAAAGAAATCAAAACATTGGTAATAAAAATGTTAACTGAACTAGGGAAAATAATTGATCTAAACACTGACCATTCTAACAAGGAAACAAAATATAAAAAAGACACCATAAGAAATGAAGAATTCAACAAGTGAAATAAAAAACACACTAGAAGGAATAAATAGCAGACTAAGTGATACAGAAAAACATGTAACTGATCTGGAAGATAGAATACTGGAAATCAACCAATTGGAACAGGAGGAAAAAAAAGACAAATTTTAAAAAACTATCTACAAGATCTATGGGATAACATTAAGCACAACAACATTCACATTTTAAGGGTTCCAGAAGAAGAGAGAAAGATGGAGACTAAAAAAGTATTTGACAAAATTAAGGTTGAAAACTTCACAAACCTAAGAAGGCAACAGACTGCCAGGTACAAGAAGCACAGAAGGTCCCAAACAGACCCATACCAAGAAAAATTCTGCTAAAAAGGCAAAAGTTAAAGAGAGAAGTCCAAAGGCAGCAAAAGAAAAACAAAGGGTCATCTACAAGGGAATCCCCACAAGGCTATCAGCTGATCTCTCTGCAGAAACTTTGTAGACCAGAAGGGAGCAACATGATATATTCAAAGTGCTGAAAGGGAAAAACCTGCAAGTGAGGATATTCTGCCCAGTAAGATTATCACTTAAAATAGAAGGAGAGATAAAAAACTTCTCAGACCAGCAAAAACTAAAAGAATTCATCAATACAGGTTTAAACCTATCCTGAAAGAAATTTTCAAAGGTCTGTGGGTGGAAAAGAAGTAAGAATCTAGAGGAGAGAGAAAATCCCACTAAGAAACAAAGGTATATAATAAAACAAAAGATTACTTAAATAAGCCAGTATGTAGATTAAAAAACAAAAAATTATAAAAGCAACTATATTAACTATTAACATGAAGATGTAAAATATGGCATCAAAAACATATTTTGGGGGGAATTTAAAATGTAGATCTTTTAGAATGTGTTTGAACTTACATGACTACAAGTTTAAAACCCACAGATATAATTATGGGTCAATATTGTATCTATGGTAACCACAAATCTAAAAACTTGCAACAGGGAATCACTAAAGACCCAGAATTTCCAAAGCAATACTGAAGAAAAAGAATGAAGCTGGAGGAATAACCTTCCCAGACTTCAGACAATACTACAGAGCTACAGTAATCCAAACAGCATGGTTTTTGGTACAAAAAGAGACATAACCATCAATGGAACAGAATAGAGAGCCCCTAAATAAACCCACAGAATTTTGGTCAATTCATCTTCAACAAAGGAGGCAAGAATATACAATGGAGTAAAGATAGCCTCTTCAGCAAACGGTATTGGGAAAACTGGACAGATGCATGTAAATCAATGAAGTTAGAATACCTCCTCATACCATACACAAAAATAAACTCAAAATGGCTTACAGACTTAAACATTAGACAAGACATTATAAACCTCTTAAAAGAAAACATAGGCAAAACATTATCTGACACAAATCTTAGCAATGTTCTCCTAAGACAGTCTACCCAGGCAACAGAACTAAAGGCAAAAATAAACATATGGGACCTAATTCAACTTACAAGCTTTTGCACAGCAAAGTAAACCATAGCAAAACAAAAAGACAACCTACGGAATGGGAGAAAATATTTGCAAAAGATGAGACTGACAAGGGCTTAACTTCTAGAATATATAAACAGCTCATACAACTTAATATTAAAAAAAAAAACCCAATCCAAAAATGGGCAGAAGACCGAAACAACCAATTCTCC